TATATATTTTTATTTTTATTTATTTATATATATATATAAATATATATATAATATATATATATATATATATATATATATATATATATATATATATATATATATATATATATATATATATATATATATATATATATATATATATATATATATATATATATATATATATATATATATATATATATATATATATATATATATATATATATATATGCTTATGGATAAAGAACACCATTAGAGAGGTGGATAATTTGGACCGGCAATTTATGGTCAATAGGATATCTCATTCACGAGATTCCAGATAAATGGCCCCAACCAAGGATTCATTCTTTTCGGTGCTGTTAAATTCGGATAGTATATTTTCTTTCGTTGATTGACTATTCTAAAGCATTTATTTTGTGCCCATTGTTATTTCATTGTTTCAGTGGGTCTTTCCGTCGTAGTGTGATGAATGTTGACGCATGTTATTTTTGTCCGAGCACTGCGGCGTCATCCATTGCACGATCTAGCTTTCACGAAGGGGAATGGAAACCGAGAAAAGCTCCAACCAATCAAAAGGTTGATGGAGACTGCACAGGCACAACTTGTTGGACTATGCCTTTATTTGTTGACTGGACTATATATATATATATATATATTGTGACCGTGTGTCTTGCAATATAGTTTTTCTTTTCTAAAAGAAATATTCGCCGTGTGTCTTTTCTCGGTCACCTTTTGCACTTTATGAATAAAAAATAGTGGATGGCCATTTGTGTTCATCGATTATTCAAGTCCTACATAAGTCTCTTTCAAGGAAAGAAAGAAACAAAGCCGCCATTGTCGACTTTATAATAGTAACACCTTATAATTTGATCCTGCCCCAGTTCTGTTCTAAAGGGTACCTTGTAACCAGCAAATCTTAATGACGATGTCAAGCTATTTGTTTACATAAGTCTCGCCTTCTCTCAAATAAAATAGTAGAAAATGATGAGTAGCGTTGTCAGAACGGTCCGAAATCTTAAGATTCACGATAATATTAAAGATGTTATTAAAAATTATTTAAGACAGTCATTTTTACTAGTTTATACGGATGACTTAATTATTTTCAGTAATAAACTAGTATAATTGATCAGTTTATTCAACAACTTAGAAATAAGTTTTCTATCAAAGATTTTAGGTCTCTTAGCTATTTTTTTTATATTTAAATCATCCACATGGTAAATAATTTATTTTTTTTCTCAATAAAAATATATTCATGATCTTTTTAATTGCATTAAAATACTTTGAAATCAATATTATTACTATACAGTATTTGATATTCACTTATTCGGATATTACATATGTAGTGAATGAATTATCTCAAGCATAAGCATACTTCTTGACAATTGTTAAACGCCTTCTTCGATATTTAAAGGGCACTATTGATCATAATTTATTTATTTGAAATGATTCTCTTCTATTACTTCATACATTTTTTGATGTTAATTGGGTAAGTAATAATGATGACAGGATATCTACTAGTACTTATATCATATTTCTTGGTCACAAGTCAATCTCTTGAAGTTTTAAAAACGAATGATTTATAACAATATTGAGCAACTGCTTCTATAACTATTGAACTTATGATAATATCGAAATAACATATTTATATGCTAATCCTGTCGAATGAAATGAAGCACATAACCATCGATTTTTACTTTGCTCATGATAAAATTCAAAATAGCAAGCTCATGTCTATCTTTGGGTTAATTTGGAAAGGCTCTTACCAAGCATTTGCATTTGTCTTGCAAGCAATTCTTTCTACGATTTAAGATCGATATTTTCAATAAGAATATTATGATATATTAAAAAAATATTATTAAAAAAATAAATCATGATAAGATTATCATGAACCTCATTATTTTGACATTATATTATCATGATTTTAAGTCACAAAAAATTTATGATACTATATTATCATGATTTTGTGATCTCTTATGTCAAGAAATGATTTACATGAATATTTTATATTTATTATTTATTAAATAATAATATAAATTCTTACTCATTATCAATAAATAAATAAATAATTTGTTTCTTTCTTACATTGTCATGGTAAAAATTAAAAAAATCTAATGAGTAAGATCAGATAGGTGTCAAGGATTCATAATGAAAATTTGAACAATCCTATCGTCTTTTAATCAGATATTATAAGAAGGTCCACAACAAAGTAAATCCAACAAAATATAGTCAATTAAGTTGGGAAAGGACAAGACGACTGTCAAGGAGTTGTAAGAGCACTTATTTACCTTGAAAGGGATTTCTTCTAAAGATTATTCATAGAGGTTTGAAACCCTAAGATATGAGACTTTGGTGATGAAGACAGATCACGAATAGATGGGATAAAATTAAGTGAGAACTTTGAATTCCTGTTGTTGAAAATCTTTTTTTTTTTTTTGACTAATCAAAATCACTAGAAGCTTCTTTCGTGTAAGTTTGATTTGTGTAGACACTATAAAATTGAAACGCTCACTTGTTCAACTTTAATATTGTGCAGGCAATATATATGGACTTAAGAGTAAGTATGCCATCGATTCGGTACCTCTAAGATGACCCAAATATGTGTTAAGATTTGTAACTATTTTCATATTCCTTATAGAAGCTAAATTACTTGTAAAATAAAAAAAAACAACTATAAAAAGAAACTTTTGTACATTACAATAGTATTATATAAATATCTTATATATGTTTAGGATACAGTGAAAGAGAATTATAAAGTGAACACTTTAAGTACTCGTAGTATTTTTTTTAGTGGATTCAGAAAGGTTGAAAAAAATTTCTCATCTATGTGACTTTAATCTTGGATTTAAATTAACTCAAGAGAGAAAATTATTTTTTCTATTTTGTTAATTATATATAGTGAAAGTATTTAGATTTTCTTTACGACATAAATAATTAGTGTTTATGTTACTATTAGGCTAATTTGTGTAATCACAAAACCAAATCAGGTTGTTTATGATCCGAAGTCTGCTCGACAAGAACCCGAGTTTATTCGCTATGTCGGATGTGACGGAATCTAGTAGTCGAGTTTATTAGGAAAAAAAATACTTAAGTACTTCATTAAAAACACATCAGTATGGATAACTCAACCTATTGGAACAAAAAAGATATTAGTAATTATAATTCAAAATAAAACAACATAATCGTCAGCTGTAAATAAAATTCATGCCTCATGTAATTTTCAAAATTAAAGTCACAATCATAATATCCAAAATGTCATTGTACATGTTGTGAGACACTCATATATTGCATGATTGTACCTTACCTGGTTTGCAAGAAAATGTTCACTTTAGTTTTTATGATTTTACAGGTCATCCTCGGTTCTAGAGAATAAAACCAAGTTCTCAAATCTAGAAAGGTAAAACCAATAGCTTACCTATTTTAGTTTAAGCGTGCTGATTTAGTCAATAGTAATCATGAGATTTAGATATGGACATCACATAAAGCTGGCTAGACTCCGGCAAGAGTCATGATCATGGAGATTGTCCAGAAGATGAGTATGCATCTTTGTTTCGGAGTCAACAAGCAAATCCAAGATGCCAAGAGAGAGAGAAAAAAAATCATGATTCAAGCACATGATTGATACACATTACCTCTGATGCTGTGCTCCCCAGAATTAATTATCGATCGAGTGCATACGCAAATCTGAACTATCACTCAAAAGTTCAAACGTAAAATAGTGTCTGGACGTCCTTTTGGACTTCTCGGTTGCTTGCTTGCGT